ATAACTTCCTGAAGCTCGCATTTTCGCCTTGTCTTGGCTTGTATTGGGCCAGATTATAGTCTTAGGTAGAGAACAGTAAGGGGAGATGGGGGGAGAGGAAAGGGGTCCGACAATTAGTTCATGTCGCCCTGTCGTCCTTGTCTCGCTTTTTGTTAGGAGGCGTGAGGACGCAAGGTCTCATCGTCTCGTGACGGCGTGAGTGGCCTTGGATTCTAGCTATTGCTGCCTCGTCACTCTTTCGTGACGTGCTAGGTAACGTGTGGACGGATTTTGAGTTCGCATCCGGCCACGGGATTATTGGGGTTGGTACAAACGTCTCCTGCGCACATGAGATCGGGTTAGTGAGGCGTATGGCGACTGCCTCTGCCGTCGCAAATATTAGCTGACGCAGAGACTTTGAATGTCTCGCCCCCACTTTATTCAAGAATCGAAACGCTTGGTTTATGCCTGTCCGATAACCGTTGTCAAACAAGTGAGCCAAAATCAAGCTCGATATTGACTTTAACTTGCCTCTGTCTATCAAAACAGGATGGTGTTCACGCATGCCCTCTTTCTCCGACCTAACTGCAGTTTTTATCGTTGCAGCGTATTTTGAAGACGACTGCGGAAGTTTCAGTAGGTGGCAGTCTTTCTTTAGGTTGCATCACTTGGCGGCGCATTGTCGCCTGAGGTTGATGGGCTATGCCTACTCTAGCGGGTTGTAAAAGTCTACAGACTGCTTCGGAGACTCCCAGAGTTCCGGTTGCTGTTTTAGTGTCCGTCGTCTGTTCACTAGGTGCCTGCCATGGTTGATAAAAGAATTCCTGTATCCATTAGCTTGGAAAAGGCCACAAGGTTATTGTTGTTCTATTCTTTTGTCAGCTTGTGTGGTGCACTATGTTTCAACTCTTTGGAAAAGAGTACGAACGCAGCTTTGTTTGTGAGAAAGAGGGTGATTGCTGTTGATGTGGAGTATTTGTTTCGTACTGCTGGATTTTCTGAATATTATGGTTTTTACTTGACCAGCTGAACAACGGCTTACCAGGAAATCAAGGAAGGGTAGTTTGTTATTTCTTCCAGTTTAGTAACTGTTTGAGGTGCTCAATGTCAAATGTTTTGACAATGACGAAAGTGTCATGGACATAACGAGCCAAAAACTTCGGTTGATACTGGGTAATGACCAAGTATTCTATCCGTTGAAGGAGCACTTCAGCAATCAGGCCTGATACGGGGAGCTCATTGAGGTGTCTATAACTGATTCATACATTTGTCCACCAAATGTTAAGTAGGTTTTAAGGCAATACCGTAGAAGTTCGAACACATGTTCAGACTGCAGGAGCTTTTGCCTCTCGTCGTCGTGTTCGGATAGAAGTTGTCTCACAGCATGAATTGCCAGCTGCTGTGGGATACAGGTGAAGAGTGACACATGGATTCCCCTGGTTCTAACGTAAGATGTTCTATTTGTTCAAGGAATGGTCTGGCAGAAATTACGGATGTCATCGAGCCTAGTGCCAGGAAGCGTGACATTCGTAGCTCAAGTAGGTAGAGCGTTAGCTTGTGTAAAAGACCTCTCTCCTATGCGGGTTCGAATCCCGCCGAATGCCGCGAGTTTTTTCACA